CCAGCCCAGGTGTTTTTGTGAGACACTGTCTCAAACAAAAACTAGAAAAGGAGTAGAGACATAGATCAACGAGAAGGCCTTTAGGTAAGGGCTCTAGCTAACTGCCATCAGCCACCAGACCTAGATAGTCTATATGTTGTTATGAGAGGTTTTTTTTTTTTTTGCAGAACCCTTGCACTTGCCTGGGTTAGTTAGAGCCCTTATACTGAGCCATCTCCCCAGCCCCAAGCAGGAGAATCATTGCATTTTTTTTTTTTTTTTTTTTTTTGGCAGAACCCTTGCACTTGCCAGGGAAGCACTTATTCCACTGAGCTATCTCCCCGGCTCTGAAAAGGAAAAGGAGTTCTTAATATACTCATGTCTGTCTGTCTGTCTGTCTTTCTTTCTTTCTTTCTTTTTTTTTTTTTTTTTTTTTGTGACAGGGTGACCTTATACTCACTATGTAGTCCAGCCTGGCCTCGAACTTGTGGTGCTCCTCCTGCCTCAACCTCCTGAATGCTGGGATTATAGCCATGCAGTACCACACCCAGCTAATATACTCATTTCTTACAAGTACAGATTCCATGTACTGATCTTGACAATAATAGCTTGTATTAATGAGAATGATTTTTTCAACTGTTAAGGCAGCTGGTCATGGTGGTGCATACCTGTAATCCCAGCACTCGAGAGGATGAGGGAAGAGGATTGCTGCAAGTTTGAGATCAGCCTGGGCTACAAAATGAGTGGCCAGTCCAAACTGCATAGTGAGACCCTGTATCAAAAAAGACATAATAATGTATTAACTGTCGAGTAAATTGAGAAAAATAAAATCAAGCTATACAAGTTATGAGAATAAAAGAAATACTGATCTTTAGGGTTTCATTAGTGTATTCTAAATTGGTAGCAATTGCAGCCATAAATTGCTGTGATATATCTTAGTTAAATCTTAGCTGTAACTTGTATACATGGTTTTAAATTTTTGTGTACAGTTATATGAAATTAATGTTCTTTTTAAATTTTTTTAAAGACCAACTTCTTCCTTCTGTGAAATTATTGATGTTGGAAATGTATTTTCTGTTAGAAAAGTGTATATACTCTGCAGTCAACACTAGAATTTTTTTTTTCTTTCCCAGCAGTACAAGGCTATGATTTATTTAAATCTTTGAGTCTTACAGTATAAACTTATACTTATCATCTAGCAATCACCTTTTACATATTGGGAAAGACACATTAGTTAAGGCTGACTAAAATGACCACGAGAATTTTTAAAGTGTATAGTTCAATGGGTTTGGGCAAATGAGTTCACCACTTCACTCATGATAATACTTAGAAGATTTCTTTGTGCCTCTTTGCAATCACTCCTTACCCCATTTCTTGTCAAGAAAACCACTAATCTGTTATTTATCACTATTCAGCTTCATATAAGTAGAATTGTTAGCAGGGGTATCAGGGTGTTCTGAGCTCCTCAGGGGTCCCTTCTTGACTCACTGTCCTAAACAAATAATTGGACAAGAAACAAAGCAACAACAGGCCAGCCAAATAGCTCAGCAGATTAAAGTGCCTGCAAACAGGGGCTGGAGGTTCAATCCTAGAGCCTGCCATTCTGGCCCCATCCCCAGGGCACACTGAAACGGCAGTCAAGACTGAGCGTAGTGGCACGCATCTGTAATCCCAGCTCTTGGGAGGCTGTAAACAGGGAGATCACTATGAGTCCGATCTAGTAGTGATACACTCAACACGCTATAGACCCTTTCCTAAAATGCAGAAAAGAAAAATTATTAAATAAATAATCCTTAAAGAAAAAAAAAAAACAAACAGCAGCAAAGTTTTACATTTATTCAAGGTATTAAAGTTAAGAGAAGAAAGAAGTAATTTTTTAAAAAATGTTCTACAGAATGAGTGTAAGCCAATTAAAGTAAGAAAGAAAATATGTTTCTCATGCTGAGAGGCCACTGAAAAAGAAGGCTGCTATCTCTTATACCCTTACTCTAATGTCAGATCTAGGCTGTCCTAGCAAAAACCTTGCTTGACTTTGTGCCAGAAAAATTGAAGATACTATTCTCTGATTGGTGTCAGGTACAGGAAGCCATACTACTACATGTCCTAAATCTCCGTAACTGACAGGTGATGCCCACTTGCCCAGTCGCTTTGCCAAGCCCTCATCTCCTGCCTTAGAATCATACTGTACAAATTCTCTATGTCGGAATTCTTTGCCAAACATTTTTTGAGATTCATCTATGTTGTTTCATGTATCCATTTTTAATTCCTTTTTAATTGCTCAAAAGCTGGGCATGATGGTTCATGTCTATAATACTTGGGAGGCTGAGGCAGAAGGATCACTTTGAGTTTGAGATCACCCAGGGCTACATAAGCAAGTCCAAGGCCAACCTACATTGCATAATGAGACCCTGTTTCAAAAAAAAAAAAACAATAATTAATTTCTCAATGGAATTCTACCTAAAGTTCTGTAGCCAGTACAAAGAAGCCTTAAAATGACAGTAAAGCTTGAAAGTTCATGTATGAAAAAGACAAAAATGTAAATAGCCCAAAAAACAGCTAGTGTATTTACATAATATCAGATAAAGTAGAAACTCTAGTCAGAAGTATGAAGAAAGAGTTCCTAAGGGTCACAGCCCTGAGAAGATAAAATTCTAATCCTTCTATACTTAGTAACATATTACAAATCAGACATTGACAGAATTAAAAGGAGAATTGGACAAATCAACAATCATGATAGACTTTAACACATTTCTTGTAATAACTGAGAGAACATGCACACAGTTGTAAATTTAGAAGGTTAGAAAAACATGGCTAATTAATTTGACAAAATAGGCACACAAAATACTCTACCCATTATATTGACCAAACTGACCATATTTGGAGGCACATCACAAGTTTTTAAGTTTTAAGGGATTCACTGGGGCAAATGGATCATGAGTTGAAGGCCAGTCTGACCAGTATAGTGAGATCCCTTCTGAAAACAAATAATTTTAAAATTAAGAGATTGAAGTCAGGGAGCCTGCCCCTTAGCTCAGTTTTTTAAGTGGCTGCTTCAACAAAGCAGTCAGGCTCAGGTTGCTGTGGTTTGATCCCTGCAACTCAAGCCAGCCAAACCTGCCCTGAAGGCATTTGGAGAAAAAAAAAAAAAAAGATTGAAGTCAGACAGATTATATTCTCTAACCACATCAGAATTGAGCCATAAACCATTTATAGAAGTATTATTAGAAAATTCCTATATGTGTGGAAAATAGGAATAGACTACAGAGTAACCCATTAGAGGTGAAATTACAGTGAAAATTAGAAAATATTTTTTAATTGCATGATAATGGAAATATAATCTACCAAAGCTTTCAAGATATATATAATACCTTACTTTAAAGAAAATGTATGACCTAAAGTGTATGATTAGATAAGAAGTAAAGCTGGAAACTTATAAGTCAGGGCTTTTTTATCTTTTTGTTGTTGTTGTTGTTGTTGTTTTGTATTTTTTAGGGAAGAGTCTACAAGGTGTTCAGGGTCTCACTACTAGATCGGACTCGTAGTGATCTGCCTGTTTGCAGCCTCCCAAGAGCTAAGATTACAGGCGCGCTACCACGCCAGGTCTCAATTGCCATCTCAGTGCGCTCTCAGGGCGAGGCCAGCATGGCAGACCCGGGAATCAAACTTCCAGCTCCTGCGCCTGCTTGCAGACACTTTAATCTGCTGAGCTATTTGACTGGCCCTTCAGCAAACTTTAGAGGGCTAAGTACCACTGGCCTTGTAGGCCAAATGGTTTCTACGTCACAACTACTTAGTGATACATTTTATCCACTAAACTTGAATGTGGGTCCAGTGAGGATGGGGCACAGCTATAATCTCAGCATTGGAGAAGCCAAAGCAAGAGGATCGCTGTGAGTTCAAGACAATCCTGGGAGGCTGGCGATATAGCTCAGCTCATCAGACTAAGTGCCTGCTTAGGCAAGCACAGGGACCAGAGTTCCAGCCTGGCCCCACCCCCGCCCCGGGGCACGCTGATTGGTGGCACACACTAGTAATCCCAGTGCTGGGGAGGCTGAAAACAGGAAGAGCACTACAGAGTCCGAGCTGTGTAGTGAGACTCTGTACCAAATACATTAAAAAAAAAAAAAAAAGACAAGCCTGGGATACATAGTGAGTTCATAATAAAGTTCATCCTGAACTATTTATGTTTACCAAGACTTGTCAAAACCAAAACAAAAAAATTAAAGAGAAACTTAATGACAGTGACTCATCAAACAGACCTGTGGGATGCCATCCAGCTTACTAACAGATATGTCATGAAAGTCCCAGGAGAGGAAAGGACAAAGTACAGAAAGGTTTGAAGAAGCAGTGGCTAAAGATTTCCTAAAATTGATTGTTAATTTACACATTCAAAAAACTAGGTGGATTTCCAAAAAGGATAAATACAAAAGATGCCAAACATGGTGCAACACACTTAGAATTCTAGCACATGGAACTCTGAAGGAGCTCTGTTAGTTCCAAGCCAGTGTAGACTCATAGTGAGCTCAAGACCAACCTGAACTACCCAATGAGACCTGTCTCAAAATCCAAAAACAAAACAAAGAGCTGTACCTAGACTAGTCTTGGTCATTTGCCTGAAAGACCATGGCTTGTCACATGTTTGTGGAAAGAGAACCCTGGAAACAGCTTTGCTTGCAGAGAGATTAAAAGAATCCCTCTCACTGCTGCCCTCAGTAGTGTCCTGTGGCACAGATATCTGAGCTTTTCTCAGGTTCTGCAATATGTTGAATCTCCATGCAGTCTTCAGGTTTGCATTTACTCCATTTAGTTAAGGTGCTTGCTGCCTGTAAATCTGCTGTGTTCAAGAAATTTCTTAAAGTCCCTTGCCTAGTGAAATTTACTTTTCTATTCTTTTTTGTACTTAAGGATAAGTTTGTTTGCTGTCATTTTAGTGGGGTTTCAGGAGATAGTAGTGATTAAGCACCTGGGTTCATTTTGCCAGGTTTACCTAGGAATTCTTTCCTGTGTGCTTACCTGCTCCATAGTTGCTGTATTTGTTAGTCTGCTGTGAAAGATAGCCTTGGTTTAATGGAAAAACCATTGGACTTTAAGTTAAGCAACTTGACTGTGTGTTGGGCACTATAATAAGCATTTTGTGAGATTTTTTTTTTTTTTTCCTCAACTGACCCTCTCAATTACTTGAAGTAGGCACCATTGTTCACTGTTTTTGTTTTTTGTTTTTTTGGGTTTTTTGCAGTAAACTTAGGACCTTGCATTTGCCAGGCAAGCACTTATGCCACTGAGCTACCTCCCTGGCCCTGTTTACCATTTTTAATGTTGAGGAAATAGATACTTAAAGCAGGCATTTAACACCAATAGCCAGTGTCTGTGGTGGAGATAAAATTGAAACACAAGCAGCCTGCCTGGGATCCTGTAGATGGCCCTATTTTAATCTGCTTTCCCTGCCACCACTGCAGCCTTCTTACAGGAACAAAATGATTCATTGATTTTTTTGTTGTTGTTGTTGCTTTTCAAATTGTAGAGCAACAAAGTATATAAGTTTTTTTTAAATTTTTTTATTTATTTGTGTGTGTGTGTGTGTGTGTGTGTGTGTCCAGCTCAGCCCACAGGGGGCAGGGGCTGGCTGTCATGTGGTGCTAGGGGATTGAACCGTGGTCCCTGTGCTTTGCTAAGCTTGTTCTAAGTAGGTGCTTTAGACCACTGAGCCATCTCACCAGCCCCGCAACAAAATATATAGATGTTACCCTTGCTACGCAGCTCAGACTCATCGTGAGCCTCCTGTTGTAGCCTCCCCAGCTCTGCAATTATAGGCATGTGCCACCATGCCCAATTTCCATGGCTGGCACAGCAGGGCTGTCACAGCATGTGGTAGCAGGGATCAAACCTAGGTCCTTGCCCTTGCCAGGCGCGCACTTAGACCTTCAAGCTATTTCACCATCCCAAGGACAGTAAGGATTTTATCAGTGTATTAGTCTAGCCTAGTATTATATCTATTTATTTTCTTTGTTTTTGCTCTTTTTTTTCCTGAGTGGGAGGGTGGGGAAACCAAGAATTGAACTCAGTTCCTTGTGCTTGTTGGGTAGGCATTTGTGCCACTGAGCTATATTCCCAACCCTACTTTTGTTCCTTTTGTTTTTTGAGATGGAGGTCTTACTATGTAGTTCAGAGGATGCCCTTGAACTCACTATATAGCCTAGGCTGGCTTCAAACTGCCTCATCCTTCCTAGTGCTAGGAGTTTACAGATGTACACTGCCATGCCCAACTTCCAACCAAATATTTTAAAGAATTGAAAATCTTGAGCATAAGTTTCAGATTTTCCAGAATATCCTATTGGCAGAAGCATAGTGTCTGGGCACACCCCTGTGATCTCAGCTCCTCAGGAAACTCAGATAAGAGGATGTTAAGTTTGAGACTAGTCAAGGTGCTCTACAAAAGCTTGTTTCAAAAAAACTGGAACTGGGAGATAGCTCAGTAGCATAAGTGCCTGCCTGACAAGTGTCAGATCCTGATTTCAATCCCTAATACTGAAAAAAAAAAACACAAAATCACCAAGGAAACTTGTGACTAAATTGTGGTTTGCTTTGAGAAGGTAAATTTGCATGCCTAGCAGCTATGAACTTGGCTTTAGGCTTAACCCTCTTTAGGCTAAGGTAGAATTAAAGGACTGACTGACTGTACCAGCCTCCTAGTAAAAATGTTCTGTGCTTTGCTGTAGACTGGATCAGTCCTAGAGATGGGCCCATCACCATATCTGACTCCTCTGATGAGGAAGGGATCCCAATGCTGATCACCCCAGCTCCTGAGCAGCATGAAGAGGACCTGGACGATGATGTCATCCTGACAGAAGTGAGTTTTCTTATAATTACCGTGGTGTGGGGCATTATTGCAAGTTAGTGAGCTGATTCTTCAGCTATTCTCTGGGCCTCATAGAACTAAAAATACCCCTCTGCACCTTTCTATATCTCTGAGAAGAGCCCCTTTCCAGTCTACCTCTTGTCCCCTTAGCTTTGTAAGCTGTATGTTTTGTCTTTCTCTGGATTTTTGCACCGTTTTCCCCACATTACATGCACTAGCCCGCACTAATAAATGCTCTAACATTGTAATGTGTCTTACCGTCCAGTAGAACTGATTAACCCATAGTTTCGGAATCATCCTGGGTATTCTTTTGTGTGTGTGTGTGTGTGTGTGTGTGTGTGTGTGTGTGTAGCTGGCTCAGCCTGCCCTGGAGGAGGGACTGGCATGGCATGTGCCTGGGATCGAACCATGGTCCCTGCACTTACCTAAGCAGGCACTCTAGACCGCTGAGCTATCTCACCATCCTCAAGCCTGGGTATTTTTAAACTTTATTTTTGTGTGACTTTTACACTCAGCTTTTCTAGTTCCAAAAGATAATTTCTCTAAATTAAAACAAATCTTCTTGCTATATTTATGTAAGTTTATGCAGTACTGACTCTTTCTAAACCAGAACAAGTTTAGAGTGAGTTTTGTCTTTCCTTGTAATCTAACCATCTTTTATGTGCCTCAGTCAGAGCATTCTGAATTTTTAATATAAATTTCAGACTTTTTGTTGTTTATTCTTAGTTATTTCCTTTTCTGTTACTTTTGTGAGTGGCATCTTTTCCTCTGTTGGATCTTTTAATTTATATTAATCTCACAATTACCTTTTATTATGTATACACAATATTGCATATACAAGGTATATGATGCATACACCTTTTATTGGGTATACACAGTTGCCTTTTGTTGTCTTTTTCAGTTGACTCATAATTTCTTAAGAATCTCCATGTGATCTGTCTGCACTTAAGTTTCTAGTTTTTATACTTTTCTAAATGTGAAACTTCCTAACCACTGATATTAGAATACTTTTAACGTATCTTCATTAAGTGTAATACTGCCCTTTGGCTTGAGGTACCTTTTTTTACATTATGTTAAGAAAATAGCCATTTACTTGTACTATACCTCAAGTTTTCCTTATGAGTGAATGTGAAATTCTGTCAAATTGAATTTCAAAGCCTGTGAAAGTTGTATAATTTTTCTTTGATCTGTTGATGTGGCGAATTATTCTCTGTACAGAGTTCACATGGTCATAGTTTTGTAGTAGGATGTTCATGTGCTGATGGGTTCCATTTGCTAATGTTCTAGTCTTTTTCTTCATAGACCTCATCACTGAGACTGGCCCATAGGCTGGAGTGGGTACCTGACCTTTCCTTGACAACTTGATAAACATGATCCTGATTTTGTGAAAATAGTTTGGAACTTTTCTCTATTCCTTTGCATTTTGAATTCATTGACTAAAATTAAACTAAAGTCCTGTTTTTTCTACTTCTTAATCTATAGTTCCTCTGCATACCCTTCTTATTTTGGCTATTTCTACCTTTTTTTCTTGATTTGATGAATAACTGTTATCTTCTCTTGTTTTTCTTCCTCTTCAGCCAGAGACAGCTTTGAGATTTACTTGGCAGTGCTACCATCTTTTTTTCTCATTCATTGATTTCTGCTTTTGTCTTTAGTATACTTTTTTTCTGCTTAAGTATACTTAACATGTTTCTTCAGGGTTTACAAACCTTTTACTAACTTCTTGAGTTACTCATTCTTTGTTCATTCCTTCACATTATTTTTCTGGTTATGGACTGCAATGTAACATACCACCTCAAGCCAGCCATGGTGGCATACATCTATAATCTCAGCACTCAGAAGACTGTGCCCCTGAAGCAGGCAGATTACTGTGAGTTCGAAGCCAGTTTAGGATGCAAAGTGAGTCGGAGGCCAGCCTGGACTGCATTAGTGAAACCCTGTCTCAAAAAGAAAAAAAAAAAAAAATCATTCTGTTTAAATCTTCAAAACTGAAATCAAGCCCACTATCTGTCCCTTCTTAAATGTTCATTTTATCTTCTTTTATGTTTTATTCTTTAATTTAATATTCAGTTTAATCTCTGGTTTATTCTAGCTATTTGCTTTTGACCTGTTTTCATTAATTTCTCTCTTCAGGTATATTTATTTAAAATGTTCTACGTCTTATCTATTGGTTCCTTATCTTATGAAGTATATTTTTTCTTTTGCATTTGAATTTGCATTTGATCCTTATATTTGTCTGCTGAAATTCCCAGTCTAATCTGTTATGTCCTTATACATGCTAAACATTGTTTAGAATCCAGGTCCGACAATTCTGCTGTATAAATCTCAGTAGTTTTTTCCTGGGGTCTGTTACTTGTTTTGGTTTTCAGTGATCACATTAAGTTCTTTTATGTCTATTTTTTTATTGTGTGTGAGTCACAGTATATGAAAAATTTGAGATTCTAGATATCTTTCTCCACCGAGGACCTGCACTTAGATTAAAGGTACAGGAAGTCCCAGAGACAGGGAGCTGATTTTCAATTCCTGGGGTCCAGAGCATGTTTCCTGTTCACTGTGCAGTGGTGTTACCTCCAGAAACTCACCATGGGGCTTGAGATTTGTCAGGACCTTCCCCTTTTGCTGAGTTTTAAATTCCAGTTTTTGTGTCCTTAGCCCCACAATAACAATATCAGAGGCCTTGTTCATCTGCTGATTGTTCTGTCAGGTCTGGAGTTGGCAGGTGCATATTTTGTTAATAAGTGCCTCAATGGAGCCCATTTTGCTAGGTTTCCCCTCCTGCATCATGCTTATAGCAAATGTTTTTGTCTCACTTTGTTGTGCTCTAATATTCTGACCAGGGATTCTACATTTCTGGAGAAGCGTTGTGTGAGTAATACATGTGCCATTGCTAGATTCACAGGCCCCCTTGACTGGGTGCCACTCAGTAACAGTGCCTGCCTAGCATACTGTGCCAAGGCCTATGTCCCACCTCAGCATAGGGGAAAAGAATTCTTTTTTTTTTTTTTCCTTCAGTATTGGACTTTGAACTTACTGCCTCTTACATGCTGTGTAAGTGCTCAAGCCCCTGAACTACATCTCCAGCCCTTTCTATTTTACTTTTTAAAATAGGTTGTTAAATTGCTCAGGCTGGCCTCAGATTTGCAATCTCTTGCCTCAGCCTTCAGAGTAACTGGGATTACAGGTGTGCACCACCACACTTTGGCTTCCCCTTAGGTCATGATTTGCACTTTCTGAGTCACTGTTTTCTCTCTCTCTCTCTCTCTCTCTCTCTCTCTCTCTCTCTCTCTCTCTTTTTCTTTCTTTTAATTAGTACTAGGATCAGACCCAGCACTTTCCCACTGAGCTATATCTCCAGCCTTTTTTTATTTTGAGACAGGGGCTTGCTAAATTATGCAGGCTGTGCTGAAGTTTTTTTATTCTCCTGTTTCAAACTCCCAAAGTGTTAATATTTCCTTTTTTTTTCTTTCCTATTTTTCTCTCAACACATCTTCATTATATAGTTGGTTCTATTTAAAGAGTGTTTTAAATTTCATAGGTGAGTTGATAATTGATTGATTGAGACAGGCTGGTCTCAAATTTGCCATCTTCTTGCCTCAACCTCCCAAATGCTAGGATTATACAACTTTCATTTCTTTGTGTGGGGTGGGTACCAGGAATTGAACTCAGGACATTTCACTTGCCAGGTAGGTACTATGCCACTGAGCTATATCCCCAACTCCCTAATTATGTTTCTTTTTCTTTCTTACTTTCTTTTTTTTTTTTTTTTTTAATGTGTTTAGTACAGGGTCTCACCACACAGATCAGACTTGTGGTGATCTTCCTGTTTTCAGCCTCCCAAGTGCTAGGATTACAGGCACTCATGGGGATCAAACCCTGGTCCCTGCATCAATTATGTTTCTTAATGTTATATTTTGTTCTTAGTTCTTTCAGGGAGGCTGAGGTGCTCCTCTGTATGCTTCTTATTTTTACTGATTTTCATACATTCTTTGCATCTTTAAGGTCTTTATTAGGAAGGTGTGTGGCTTCTATAGTTTTATTCTTTTAAATTTTTCTAGTAGTTGCTTTTACACTTTCAAGTGCTATCTTTGTCTTCCTCACCTGCTTACCATATGCAGGTGTATCTTTTGACACTCAACTTCACTTTCTCTGTCAGCTTTTAGCACATAATTATTTCTACAAAACCTGAATTTGAAACATTTCAATTCCCAGATTTTATAACAGTGAGCTAATTATTTGATTACTTCTTTTTGTGTTCTTGGTTCTGTGTTTGTCAAGGTTTTATGTGCTCTGTCACCCTAATATTATAATATATATGTGACATCTATCATTTCTTCTTATAGAATACTGAGATGCCTGTGTAGTTTCTGTGCTGGTTGTTTTTGTTATTATTCAGCTTTGACTGGCACATGGTTCTTCGGCACTAGCTCTTTGTAGGTGGTTCTTCTGAGCAGTTGGACTCAGGAACTGTGGGTTCTCAGGAACTGTCTACATGCATATATACCTATGTTTATCTGCTTCTTAGCCCTCATAGTGATTGCTGGCCCAGAGCTGCTAAGTGTTCTCTGCCCCTGTCTTTTTGACAGCTTGCTGCCCCAAAAGATACTTTTAAGATGGAGTCTCGCCATATTGTCCAGGCTATACTCAAACTTGGGTTCTTCTGCCTCTGCCTCCCCCAGAGGGTCTAACCTCAGAACCTCTCTGCTGCTATATAGGTAGAGGTTCTGGTGGTCCCAACACCCATTCCCACTGTTCCAAAAAAGAGATTGTTAGTTTTTGCTGCCAACAGGCCATGTCTTGTCTTAGTCTGTAGCTCATAGCACTTTTAAGCTGCTCCTTACATGTAATGTGATTTGTAATGACAGATGTCCACATATTCATCAAAGATTTTCAGTTATGTGACTCATTGTGTCCTTTGTTTTGTCAGAGAACAATAAGGTTAGAGACATTTTTATTTCAGTGTCTTAAAATTAAGAGTCTATTGTGGGGGGCCGGGAGATGGCTCAGTGGAATAAGTACTTCCCTGGCAAGCGCAAGGGCCTGAGTTCAATCCTCAGTTCTGCAAAAAAAAAAAAAAAAAAAAATTAGGTGTCTATTGCAATTTGCCTTTTGCTTACTTGATTACTTTCAGTGTAGAATTTGAACCAATACTGCTCAAGTTCAAGTTCCTCTTCACTAGCCCCTTCTCAAGGAATATCTCAGAGGAACTATTGCGGGAAAGAGCACAGTTCTAGAAATGATTTGTTGTATATTTTTATTTTTAATAAACAATCAGGTCCGGAGAGATAGCTCAGTGGTCTAAGCACCTGCCTGTCAAGTGCAAGGACCCAGGTTCAATCCCCAGCACACCAAGCACACCATGCATGCCAAGCTGAGCCACTGAGACTGGGCATGGTGGTGCACACCTGGTATCCCAGCTCTGGGGAAGCTAAAACAGAAAGATCACGACGAGTCTGAGCTCATAGCAAGGCCCTATACCAAGTACATAATTTTTTTAAATTCAAAATAAATAATCCTTCGTGTATGTATAGTTTTGCAACTTGCTTTTCTTCACTTAATGACACTTCTTGATGAGAATTCCACTTCAGTACATACAGAGCTACCTCTTTTTGGTGGCAGTGATGCTGGGGGTGATCATAGAGTATTTTGGTGATCAACTAAGTAATAGTTTACTTAAAGCTTAGGAAAAACCTTTAGACTGTCAGTAATTCTTTTTATGCTACAAGCAATTAGCAATATGTATCCTTGTGTATGATCTTTTCAGGTGTTGATAGAATAGATGTGAAAAAGTGATCCTGACTAATCATAAGTATATACTTCTTGTACTTTAATAAATGGTACCAAATTACTCTCCTAAATGATAGTATGCAAGTCCTCACACACATCTGCACATCTTCATCAGTGCTTAATATTACATAAGGAAAAAGTTGTCTTGTTTTAATTTTCATTTTACTAATGAGATTTTGGTTCTTTTCATATGTTTATTTGGCATTTTTTTTGTTACTCTGCTGTAATAGCATTCTTTATTTCTTTTATTAAACAGTTAATTTTGTTTTAGCAATCTTAACAATTAAAATATAATTCAAATTATAACTTCAATTTATGAATAATTACTTCAAATCTTATAGATCTATAATATAATTTCAATGTTAAGATAAATGTGAAGAGTAGGTTTCTTTAAGAGGAAGGATTTTTTTTTCCTATCCTATCTCAGAAGCTCAGTATTAAATACATAAGGAGGCACAGACATAGGAAAAAAATTGAATTGTTACTAAAATTTCATTTTTTCTTAGACAAATAGACCTCAGACTTCACGACCCAATCTCATCAAACCAGCTGCCCAATGGCAAGATCTGAAAAGATTGGGAGAAGAAAGACCTAAGAGGTCTAGAGCAGCATTTGAATCAAATCAGAGCAGCTATTTTTCAGTGTGTAACAACCCATTATTTGATTCTGGGGCACAGGATGATTCTGAGGATGACTACGGTGACTTTCTGAATCTTGGGCCTCCTGGAGTCTCTGAGTTCACTAAACCAAAAGGTCAAACAAAAACAGAACCCAAACCTGGACCAAGTCATAACCAAGCAGTAAATGACATTGTCAATTCCAGATCAGACCAGAAAATCATTATCTTTGGAGAAAGTGACCTTCTTTTCCCAGAAAGTGATCGTTTGGATACTGAGAACCAGTCATCTGAAGACTCAGAGCAAGAGCTTTTTTCAGATCTGGGAAAATCAACTTCCCTGGGAGGTGATCAGGACATCGAAGAAGACTGCTGGCTCAATCATCCCTACTTACAGTCTCTAAACCAACAGCCACGTGATGTAGCAAACCGAGTTGTTCTCCAGGAGCGGCAGTCTGGAGGAGAACTGGGCCCCTTTCTGTTTCAGCGGGAACTCCCAGGGCCCACTTTTCCAAGGCCAGAGGCCCAGCAAGATGGGATTTTAAGCTCTGTTGCTCGTCAGCCTGCCCACCTAAGAGAGCTTGAAGACCAACAGTTAGCAATCGATGACGAAGAGCCAGGGCCAGCCTTTCCCCTGCAAGGGTCTCAGGAGGCCAGTTTGGAAAACCTCTGGAGGCAAGACCCTCCTGAGGCAGATCAAGAACTCATTGCACTATTAGTGAAAGAAACAGTAAGTGTTGCTTATCTTTATTACTATTTTAGACATACTGAATTTGTTTCATTGCAGAAACCAAAAAAAATGCATGTGTAAACTTCATTTTCTTAAGGAGCTTGTATCTAGATGTAGAGAATAAAAGAAAATAAACTCTGAAGACAGAAAAATCGAATGAGGATTCCTTAATCTATACATAACTTCCAGGAAGCTCTCAAGGGTGCTAATGATCTACCATGGTGCTAATGCTGTCATTGCCGTTTTTTCAGAGTCCTTGAACTCACTCCAAATTTAGACCCTTGAAAGAAGTTACTGGGTTACCCAGAGCTGTGCTGTCCAACACAGCATCCATTAGCCTGTGTGACTATTTATGTTTAGGTGTTTTACAGTTAAGTTACAAATTAAGTTTGCAAGGACATCAGTACTATTTTAGTTTCAGTAGGCACACAGGACTTACAACAAGCACAGACTAGGAGCTTTCCATCATCTCGCGGCACTCCGTCAGGTGCCAGTCATTAGGGTAACGTGGGCCTCTGTGTCCATAGTCTGCAGTTTGCCTTTGAGTGAGTCTCCTTAGCCTGCTTCACCCAGGTTTTCATCTGACCTGCTCAGGTGAGCTTCTAGAGGGCAGGCCTGAGATTAAACCTTGTCTTTGGACTTCCTTGCTTGGCAGAGATGCTCAGTATTTGTAGAAAAATGAAAGTGAATATGCAGAATGGTGCAGAGGACCTCTGTGACCTTTCTAGATTATCTTTTGTCTAGGTGGTAAAACTGAGAGCCAGTGTTGAAATTTAAGTGATACAGAGCTATTTTTCAGCTCTCATTTCTTGGTTATTAGCCATTTTCTTTCTGGTTTGTTTTGTTTTGTGTATTTTTTGTTTGTACAAAGTCTCACTACACACTGGGGCTTGTAGCAGTCCTCCTGTTTTCAGCCTCCATAGTGCTGGGATTACAGGCATGCGCCACCATGCCTGGTCTTGGTAGCTCAGCATGCCTGGGGGCAGGAGAGGGAGAGGGTGGCATGTGTTGTTGGTACTGGGATTGAACTCAAGGCCTTGTGCTTGCCAGATGCTTATCCTACTGAGCTGTCTCCCCAGCTTTTCTTTTCTTTTTCTTTCTTTTTTTTTTTCCAGAACCAGGGATTGACTTCAGACCCTTGTGCTTGCCAGGGAAGTGCTTATTCTACTGAGCTATTTCCCCAGCCCCCTTTTTTTATTTATCTGGGGTTTTTTTGCCCCCACTTTTCTTTCCGTTATTGTCACATGGTTTTTAATGACTTCAGAACTATCTAGTGAATAAAAATTTGTATTCCTTTCCAGGAAGTAAGATTTCCAGATGTAGCAAATGGGTATGTTGAAGAAATAATTCATTTGAAGAATTATTATGATTTGAATGTGTAAGTATTCCACCATGCCATTTTTCTTTCTTTTTCTTTCTTGTAATAAAATATAACATTAGCTTTATTATTTTAACTGTGTGTGTGTGTGTGTGTGTGTGTGTGTGTTTGGACTGGAAATTAAAATGAGCCTTAACACTTTTTTTTTTTTTTTTAATTTTGAGACAAGGGGCTGGGGGGATAGCTCAGTAGAATAAGTGCTTGCCTGGCAAGCGCAGGGTCCTGAGTTCAATTCCCCAGTACCAAAAAAAAAAATTTTTTTTTTGAGACAGAATCTTGCTAAGTTACACAGTGTTCAAACTTGTACAGTCCTGTTTGTCTCCCAGAGTACCAGGACTTAGAGGTGTACATCACCATAGCTTACTTTAACCATTTTTCAATGTAAAGTTCAGTGGTATTAAGTACATTGACATTATTATGCAGCCATTACCATATCCTTCCCTAGCACTCTTCTTATCCCAAAACAAAACTGTACCCCTTAAATACTGACTCCTCATTCCTTCCTCTCTCAGCCCCCCCATCACCATTCTAATTCCATCTCAGTGAATGCCTCAGCTGGCTATCTCATGTGAGTGGAACTATATAGTTGACGGCTCTTTCTGACTGGCTTATATTGCTTGGGACTTTTTAATGCTCTTGTTAGTTCTAGCATTAGTCATATACAGAATTGTCTGGGTCTTAAGGAATTCTGTAGACATATTGTGATGTCTAATTGCGTATTTTTTATTTTTACAGAAAATAAAAAATAATAAAAATGTTAGAAATGATACAGAATTTCACTAAACAAAATGATAATAATTCAACAGTGGTTGTTAGATTGCATATTGTCTTCAAATTAGTATTCAGATTACCAGATAAAAGCTTGCAAAATTGATCAAAAAAATTAAAAAGAAAAAATAACAAGTATTAACTGTTCAATAGACCAGCAGAAATCAGCAATAGTTATCAAAGTTATCCTGTGTATATACATACATATACATGTATATACATGTATTTTTCCCCTTCTTTCTTTTCTCCTTTCCCCATCGAAGTTGTTCCTTCCCTGTGAACATTTTCTCTCCCTTTCACAGTATCTATTGTACTTTGTGGATTTTATTTACTGTTTTAGGTTCTTAACTAGGGAGACAATGTAATGTTCACACATTCAGGTCTAATTTATTTCACTTATAAGTATGGCGCCTAGTTATTTTTGAGCTTTGATCTTACCTGTGTTTTCATCAAGATGATTTTTTTTCCCTACAGTTGTAACAGAAAATATTCTGTAAGCATTCTGCCTATTTGCAGAAATACATGGAAGCATCTCTTCAGCTTTTAGTATAAAAGTGGCACTTTAAAAAATTTAGTGTATTGAAGTATACAAAATAAAAAGTAAGTCTCTTTCCTGTTGTGTTGTAGTCTTTCTCTTCATTCTAATCTGCAGAAGTGAAAGTTTTAAGTTTGTAGAAGGTAGAGTTGAAATTACTCATAATTTTCAGAGTTAATACATACATTTTTTAATTAAAAGAATAGTTTAATGCCAGGTGTGTTGCCACATGCTTATGATCCTAACACTTTAAGAGGCTGAGTCAAAGGGATCACGTGTTTGAGCCCAACCTGGATAGCTTAGAGATAGAGAATTAGCAAGGTCCTGTCTTAAAACACAAATTTTAAAACTGCTGGAGATAATAGCTCAGTGCAGAGGTTCTAGATTCAGTCTTAATACATACCTGGAAAGAACAAAAAGGGTAGTATATTATACCCTTGTCCTCAGAAGTATCATGTCTTACTCTGTAGTTGTCAGCCAGGGTACAAATAAATCTATTCCCCTGAAGACTTAAAAGAGAAGGTCCCCCTTTTTTCTGCTTCTCTGCTCAACAGAAGTTCTTTTTTCTAATTTGTACAACACATTGGTGCCACCTCTATCTAGAAACAGCCAGCTACCAGGTTTTCAACCAGGATTGGATCAAGTTTAGTATCTTTCTTAATCTAGAGTGGTTCCCTGGTTACTTTTTTAAAATATCATTAATTTTTCTTCCTAGTGTTTTACCGTAAAAAGTTAAAAGATGTACAGCCAAAGGTTTGGTGATACATGCCTATAATTCCAGTTACTCAGGAGGCTGAGGCAAGAGAAGCACAAATTCAAGGCCAGGGTGGGCAATTTAATGAGATTCTGCTTCAAAATAAAATAATGTAAATGGCAGGGGATGTAGTTTAGTGGCATAAGAGTACTTGCTTGGCTTGTTGTGAGGCCCTGAGTTCAATCCCAAGTACTAGGGAAAAAAAAAGTTGAAAAAACTTTTTGATGAGCACCTGTATACTGCTTACCCAGATTATCTGTTACTCTGCTGAAAGGAAGATTTTCCCTTTTACTTCCTGCTCTTCAAATAATAATAGTTATTATTTTGTACATACACACACAAATTTAAGGTCTTTAAATGGTATTTTAAAATCAGTTACAGAGCTGGGTATGGTGGCACATGTTCATAATCCCAGCACTCAGAAGGCTGAGGCAAGAGGATCTCATCTCAGAGTTCAAAGCCAGCCTGAACTACATAGTAGAACTTGTCTTTAAAAAAAAGAAAAAAATATGATTATTTGCTTCTTGATACTCAAAATTTCCCAGATTTGGCCAATTTTGGTGTGATCGCATTAATCTTTGAGCACTTTATTATTTCTTGAAGTATCATGGTACCCAGGTTTGCCTTAGACTTGCTCAGACCTGGCATCTGTTACTACCTAAGAAACACAAAGGTCTGTTTTTTTCCTTCTCTGGTGGTTAGTTGGTTGCTTGGTTGGTTGGTTTAAGACAGGGTCTCTCCATGTTGGAACCAAGGTGAGGCTTGAGCTCCCAGAGTTGAGCAGTCTTTCCATCTCAGCCTGCCAAGTGCTGCCACTGTAGATATGTGCCCTGTGCCTGGCTTAAACCCAAAACTTTTAGAAGCAGGAGCATCTTATGGCTTGTTATGTTCACCCTTGGAACCAGCATGTTCTTTCACTGGCATCTGGGTGAGAAAAGAAAAGGAGTGGAGAAGGGCACTTTTCCTCTGTTCTCCTCTTGGCAAACCTTTGTTAATTATTTTCTCTGTTGACATTGGGCAAGAACTGAGGAGAAAAAAGTCAAGTGAGAATTAGAATTAGACACCTAGCCAGGGTTGGGGTCATCCTACAAATCTTCAGGAACAAAGGAAAAATGCCAGTGCTAACGAACAGGAGCCTGGATTACCCTGTGGGCTGCTGAGCACCCAGGCTATCATGGCCACTGTGAGATCATCCCCAGTCCAGTTGTCTGATTTGGTTCTGTTGCCAAGTGAAGAGCTTAGATAGTTGACCTGGCTTAAGTCTGGGTGAGGATGCATTCATGCATATTAGTGTAAGCTACATGGCTGACCCTCAGAGAAGTGTGGTGGCAATGTATCAAAGAGACAAGGTTAGTGGGTTTTTAAGAAGAAAATCTGCTCATAAGAAAGCATGGCCTGTTCATCAGTCTTGCAGTTGGCTAAATAGTAAATAACTCAGTTGGTTCATAGGAGTGTATATTACCACAGCTTATAAAAAATAATACCAAAAGATCTTTCATATTTCATGTATTTACTATTACCAAAGTTTTAATTTTAATTGTGAATATATATTTTTTTCAACTTGTTATTTATCATTTTCTTGGTGGAGAATAGCTACATTTTTCAGCTGGGATTGTATTTCAGCACTAGAGCTCTTGCCTAGTGTACATGAAACCCTCACTTCAAGCCCCAGGGGAAAGAGGAAAGAAAAGCTGCTTTTCTTCTAAATTCTCTAGTTCCATACACTTTAACTAGTAGCATTTTCAGTGACTTCATCACATCAGTCCCCAAGTAATAGATGAATTCAGAGGCATTTCCATTCATCAGTATGTTCATTACATTTATATGTCTGTCTGTCTGTCTGTCTGTCTGTCTGTTTTGGTGATACGGTCTTGCTATGTAATCTAGGTTGGCACTGAACTATCTGCAATCCTCCCAAGCACTGGGATTACAGGCATGTGCCACCATGCCTGGTCATTGCTTTTTAAACTAGCAAGCAAAACAAAATCCAGTGTAATTTTTTTCACAATAATTATTTGTGTTTTTATTAGTATATGTTTATAGTATATAATAATTACATTTATTGTGGGGAGGTGGTCCATGTACACACACATTTAATTCTTTTTATATCCTTCTACCCCCCCCCCCTTAAAATTACTTAGTTTTTTGGGTCTGCAAACACCTTAATTCCTTGATGGGCCTGTTGTCCTATGTCACTGGGGACTTTATTTTTACATTTGAATCACGGGGTAGATATGGGATTTAGAAGCAGTATGAAAGTAACGTCATATGTTGTTGCAGACTTTGTAATTTTCTTCTGGAAAATCCAGATTACCCAAAGAGAGAAGACAGGATTATTATCGATCCCAGCAGCAGTCTGCTCGCCAGCCAGGATGATACAAAGGCAAGTGTCCTGTAGGAACTACTCTATTTTTCCATCATCTCTATGCTTTGTCAGGACACATTTTTAAAAGGCCAGCAAGAAAAAATAGGATTTTAGAATGCAGTTCAGTGGAATCTCCACCCTTAAGCCACTGTGGGATATATTTAAGTCCTCTTTCGTTGTTACTCTTATCTTCCCTTTTCCACGAAGAGTGAAGCAAATTTTCCTCATTTTTAATCTCATAAAGCAAGTTGCCCAAGGAAACAGAGTTGTCATGACTGTTTGTATTGTTTTAGTAGTTTTTTAAACATTTTATGTTGAAAATTTTCAAACATACAGAAAAGTTCAAATATTTCACATTGATCACCTACTCAGCCACCACCAGTACTTCCAAAAAGTTAACCTTTTACTATATCAGCTTTATTGCACCTCTTTCCTCTGTCCATCTGCACATCTTTATTTCATTTCATGACAGTGCATTTCAAAGTAAATTGCAGGAATGTTAGTACAGTATACTTCCATGGAAACACTTCTGTGCACAAATCATTACTCGTAGCTTAATATCTGATGATAATTTTTGCAAGATTTGTGTATAGTGCATGTAACTTTAATCAAATCTTATATGAAGATGTAAGCAATTAACTTTTAAAACCTATAATCTTTGTCTTCATGTGTGATCTAAATTAGCATTCATTATGTTGTATACTAAAGGAAAATATAGTTCAGAATTAACTGCATGAAGAACTAGTAATTGGTCCTTCTGCCCCCCCCCCAAATTATTTTTACTAACTCTTATACACTCTAGCAGGGAGGGAAAAAGATGACTTTTTCTGGACATTTTGAGGAGGGAAAGATTGGGTTCAAACAGCTAAATTTCTTTAGTAGTTTTAACTAATAAGTCTTAGACTGCAGACAGCTGCTCTACCATTTCTCCATCCCTCTTACAGGGCTAACTTCTAGAGTGATTATGAAACCAAACAAGATTATCCTTTCCTGTAATATATAATTGTTAAAATGATTTTCTCCTTTTGGGAAATATACTGTCCAGCATTCTTATTTTGTATTTCTTATTTCAGTTGCCTAAAATAGACTATTTTGACTATTCCAAACTCAGTCCACTTGACCAGCGCTGCGTCATCCAAGCTGCTGACCTCCTGATGGCTGACTTCAAAATGCTCAGCAGTCAGGACATCAAATGGGCCCTGCATGAGCTCAAAGGACACTATGCAATCACCCGAAAGGTGCGCTTCTTCTTCTGTTGGGGTCACTTCTTTGACTGCTTTGCCCTGTGATACAGAACAATGAGTTCCATTTTAAGACATTGGAATGTTAGTCAGTTAGTCGGTCCTGACTGGCTGCAGATAAGGTAAAGATAATAGAAGAGGTATTTGCTGGTCAGGAAAAACCAAAAGGAAAGAAATGCTAGAACAGAAACAGAAATTCTAGTTTGAGGCCGGGGAGATAGCTCAGTAGAGTAAGCGCTTGCCTGGCAAGCACAGGGTCCTGAGTTCAATCCCCAGAACCGCAAAAGAAAAAAAAATTCTAGTTTCAGCAGAAAGATCTGGAGGACAATACACTTTAGTGTGGAATGCATAGTAAAAAGGTATGAAAGATTGCTCTTCCCCTTTTTGCTTTGACTTGTGACCAATTACATAGCTTCTCTGAGGTGACTCCTTCCAGTTACATGAGGTGAGGTCTGTCAGGAGCCAGAAACATAGTAGTGCCCGGTAATGGTGGTCTACTTCAGAGTAGCATAGGCAGCTCCCAACAACCCCAACATTTCCCTCCAAGGCCCCAAATAAGACAATACATGAAGGCCCTGTTCTTGGACAAGGACAAGTGCTGGTGACTGGTGGGTATCACAGGCATGCTCTGTTAGCAAGATCTGCTCCACAGAGTCCATGGCATCACTGTAGTCAGAACAGAACATGAATGTACGTATGTAGTTCATTTCTCCTGCTATTAAATCTTCTGCCGAAGTGCTTGTGATCCCCAATAAAGATTGATTCCTGCCTCCCACCCAAAGGACAAAGGTGGAGTTATTTTAATCGTTCAGATACCCACTGGGTCTTTCTTGAAGGAGTCTGAGCCCCAGGTAAAGATAGCTCATTCTGAGTCTAAGTCAAGCCTCACCATTGCTGAGAAGATCCAGGCAACTGCCAAGAAATGCCTAGGTAGAATTATTCTGAGGGCAAAAGTTAGCACTTTTTATATCTGAACCTCATTCCCTATGCTATAACGTATGGAATGCCATAGTTGAAAATTGACTAAGTCCCAAAGGAGCAGTCACCATGCAGTAAGGGCTCTATGCTGCTGTAGGCTGCACCTCCCTCCTCACTGCCCAGGCTGAGGCAAATGGTAGAGATCCCCCTGAGAGCAAGAGCTGCACTTGGAGGGACACCCCTTCACAGGCCCAAGGTCTGGTCTTCCATGGTCTGTTCTTTTGTGCAGGGTAGACTTTGTGGCTGTGTTGCAGCTAATCAGTAAGTAAATCTATAGTCCTGAGGCAGTTTATAGATGGGGTTTATCCAGATGATCTCTTGCATGCCTTTCAGTGGCTTTCATTCTATGTTTTGTGGAACACTTACTGCTTGCAGAGCTATTTCATTCTTGTGTGCAACTTCCCTGTCCCCTTCCTCATACTTGTATCATTTATATTTTAATAAAGGCATCTGCTTGTTTGTGGGTAGCTTGGGAATTACATGGGCTTTGAAATGGAATGAGCTAGACTGTTTAAATTAAAGTGTTTCAGAGGATATGCTCTCAGGCAGAAGCTAATGCATGATGTGACTCCTTGGGACTTGGGACTTGTTCTTGCATACAGCACATACAGTGAGTGCACAAGAATTCTGCTGTATAAATGGTGACAGGGGTGTGGACAGAAGATATGACACACCCAGAGATGTTTTTGAGTTACATCAATACCACTGCCTCTGTGCTGCCCCAAACAATTCGGGGGAGTTCATGTCTATTATGAAGACTGAGTCATGTCTGAACTCGCTTTTTGGGGGTGTTTTTGTTTTTGTTTTTGTTTTTGTTACTGGGGAGTGAGACCTGGGCCTCTATAGTGAGGTACATCTGCAGTGCCCTGTCCCCTACTTTGTATGTTCATTTTTAAGTGTAAGACAGGATTTTGCTACAAGTAGCCAATTTGTCTGGCTGGGTTCCAACTTACAACCTTCTGCCTCAGTTTCCCAGAGTGCTAAAATTACAGATTTGTACCACATGGCTGACTTTTCACTTTTTATAGTAAACATCCTACATATGTTACCCATCATTCAGCTTTGGAACTTAACTTATACTCATTTTTTGTTTCATCTCTGGCACTGCCCTTTTTCTTTCTTCCCTTACAGTTTTTTAAAGCAAGTTACAAATTTATTTATGTTTATTACCATTAAATGATAATGTAGTTTAAGTCTTTTATAATCTGTGAATTGTTACTCCTTTTTTTTTTTCCTTACAGTTTTTGGGAAAATGTATTTGTTGTTTATCCTATACATTTTGAGAAACTGGATTTCTCTGACAGCACCCTCACAGTGTCATTAACTGGCCTGTGTCCCCTGAATTTCCTACAGATTGATAGTTAGATCTAGAATCTTCATCAGATATAGGTTTGATTGTTTTTTTTTTCTTTTTGCCTTTGATTTAATTGCTGTTCCACTACTTGTTATTCTGTGATTAGAGCAAGTGTCTTAAACTTGCTGGACTTGTTTTCTTGTAATGAAGAGTTGATCCCTTACAGGCTATGACAAGAATTAGAGAATAGTTTTCAGCTCTGAATTCAAAACAGAGAGGACCATCACCCAGAGAGGGCTGTCACCTGGGCTCTGTGGAAAGTCTCCTATAGTTGGGCGTCTTGATGAGTCCCATGCAGCCTGCAATATTTCTTTTTTGTTTTTTTTTTTTTTTTTTTTTAATAGCCAATTCTTTTTATTATGCATTATGAGCTAAAGCCTGTTTTGTGCATATTCTATGAATTAACTTGTTTTTTTTTTCTTTTTTTTTTCTACAGTTTTATTGATAAACATATAGCAATGAGACAGTTTCAAATCAAATCGGAAGTACAGTTTCAACAAATAATACACTGCATATATTATTCT